TTCTTTGAATTTCTGGTGGAATTCTGCACTGAGGCATCTGGCCCTGGGTTTTTGTTGTTGTTGTTGTTGGGAGACTTTTGATGACTGCTTCTATTTCCATAGGGGTTATAGGTCAGTTTAAATTGCTTATCTGTTCTTGATTTAATTTTGGCAAGTGATATCTATCCAGAAAATTGTCCATTTCCTTTAGATTTTCAATTTTTGTGGGGTACAGGTTTTCAAAGTATGACCTGATGATTCTCTGGATTTCCTCAGAGTCTGTTGTTATGTCCCCCTTTTCATTTCTGATTTTGTGAATTTGCATGTTCACACTCTGCCGTTTCTGTAAGTTTGGATAAAGGTTTGTCTATCTTGTTGATTTTCTCAAAGAACCAACTCTTCATTGCAATGATTCTTTGTATTGTTTTTCTAGTTTCTATTTTATTGATTTCAGCCCTCAGTTTAATTATTTCTTGATGTCTACTCCTCCCGGGTTGTGCTGTTAATTCTCTAGTGTAACTAGTCTCCAGTTTCTTCATGTGGGCACTTAGTGCTATGAACTTTCCTCGTAGCACTGCTTTCAAAGTGTCACATTAGTTTGGGTATCAAGATAGGTTTTTCTTATGTAGCCCTGCCTGCCCTGGATCTAGCTCTGTAGTCCAGGCTTGCATCAAACTCAGAGATTGGCCTGCCTCTGCCCCCGAGTGCTGGAATTAAGGTGTGTGCCACCATTGCCTGGCTTAAAAAAATCTATGATCTTCAGACACACTGTTATGGGAAGCCCACCAGAGATGTCCACTCAGACACTTTTTTTTTCCTTTTTAGTGTATTTACAGTTGATTGAAAGTCTTTATTCCAGCCATCTGGGACTAAACTCAGGTATTCAGGGACCCAAGTGCAGCACCCAGTGTTGCACTAGCTCTCAGGTGTGGTCCAGAGACTGGGGGTTGGGGGTTAAAAGCTGAAACCACATCCTGGCATCTTGTTCTACAATGAACTGTAGTGGGGGCTTAAGAGAAGTAAGAAGTTTAACAGAAGCTAAGTGGTTAGCTGTAGGGGTTCTGCACCCACAGAACAAGACAGTTTATCAGAACAATAAGTCAGCTGGGGCATCCTGACCTTGGGTTCCTAGAATAGAGTTGGGTAATTTTCCATGGGATTCTCTGTCAGGGAGATCATATTCTAGTTAAACCTGAAATGGTCTCAGCAGGATTAGAAGATGGAGAAACTTCTGCACCGTCTTGCTCTGCCAGAATACTCAGGGTCTTTTTCCATTAGCAAACAAAAACCTTCAGAGACCTTTATGGAGGCTTTGTTAATGTTCTACAACAAGCTATAAAGAGACAAATAGTAAAGAGATTGCTTCCACCCTGTTGTTTTCACTGACTTACCAAAAGGCAGATTCTAACTAGGCCCCCTAAATGTTTCAAGTGTACAAATCAGGCCTTGCCTTTCCCTAGAGCTAACAGCCTTTCTACTGAGATAGATAAATTCATAAACAGGTTTTGAGAGCCTAGGAATTAGACTCCCTGGTAGGCAGACAGACAGGGAGAGGAGAGGGGCTGTGGCTAGGAAATAAAGGTAGTCAGTTTCCAAGATGGCCGTCTTCTTGTTCATCCTCCTGACTGTAGACAATAGCCTGACAGCTTCAAACAAAGGCTTTGTAGGCTTCCAGCTCCCACCAGCAGGCCCCATGCTGATGGACTGGCTCAATAAGCTCAAGTCTTGATCAGCACTTTGGCTTTCCTGAGTCACCAGATTGTAACACAAAAAATAAAAGACCCAGAGATTGACATTGGGGTTCAAGGTTCAAGCTGAAAAATCAGAAAAGCAAAGCAGCTCTTACCTCTACCTCAGACTGAATGGGTGATCCTTAGATTGTATCTCCCAACATGCCTGAATACTCAATCTCCACATGAGACCCTTTGCTTTTTATACCTCCCTAGTGCTGGGATTAAAGGCGTGTGATCCCAAGTGCTGAGATCTCCTTTGTGTGTGCTGTTTCTCTTTGGGACTGGATCAATTTCATGTAGCTCCGTGTGGCCTTGACCTAACAAAGATCCATCTACCTTTACCTCCCAAGTGGTAGGATTAAAGATGTGTACCACCACCACCTGGCTTCTATAGCTAATGTGGCTGGCTTTGCTTTCTGTACTGTCAGGCAAGCTTCAATAAATCGTAAATAATATATCACCACAAAACCATATCAATATCAGACAGTTTTTATTACTATAGCTCAGTAATTACAACTTGAAATCAGGGATGGTGACACCTTAAGTTATTCTTTTACTATTCAGGATTATTGCTTTATTATTTTAATAAAACAAAATATTTTATTATTTATTATTGTATTATTATTTTGACTATCCTCAATTTTGTTTTTCTACGTGAAATTGAGAATCATCCTTGCAAGCTTTCAAGGTCTATAAAGAATTGTGTTGGGATTTTGATGGGGATTGCATTGCATCTGCAGACTGCTTTTGGTAAGATGGCCATTATAACTATGTGAACATGAGAAATCTTTCCATCTTCTGTATCTTCTTCAATTCCTTTCTTCAAAGACGTTATGAGTGACCACTGTGAACATGGACACCATTTCAATTGGATCTATTGAGGCCATAGTTCCATTTTGGTTAGTTGCTGAGATCATTCCAAGCAAGCCCTCCCCCCCACCAGGTGTGTGTATGTGTGCCGCATCTATCTGTCTGTCTGTCTGTCTGTCTGTCTGTCTGTCTGTGTGCTTGTGTGTTTTCATCTATGGATCCATTTCTGTGTGTAGTTGTCCTTGAGAAACTCTTGATGAGATACCACGGTATCTCATCTTGTGATAATGTTTTTCCAGTGTCTGACTCTTCCTGTGTCTGCTAAGATGGAACCAATCTATACATTGTAAGTTGAGACACCCACAGTGATCCCAGGTCCAGAGGAGCTACCATCTACCATTACAAAAGGACAATTTTCCACATACAATTTGGAAAATAGATTCAGGGTGCAGCTCAGTTGTAGAGTGCTGGCCCAGCATAGATTATGTTCTGAGTTACATTTAGCACTGTATAGATATAAAAGGAAGGTTAATAAACTTAATTTAAACACATGGGAGGTGGGGGCACCAGAAGTTTGAGTTTACCCTTAGTTATATAATGCATTCACTCACTGTCAGACTGGAATACAGGCCCTGTACCAAAAGAATAAGAAATAAAAATGCCCTGAGGGACACAAAATGCTCCACAAAAGTACAAGGGATCCATGTTTCTCCTAATTGCTCGTGTGTGTGTGGGGGGGGCTGAGATGGCCTTTCAATTTGTGCAGAGGCACTTGTTTCTGTGCATACATTCATTCTGTGGATGTGCATGTAGAAGCCTTGGGATTCCTAATTGTTCCTCAGATATATTTACCTTGTTTTCTGCAGACACGGTTTCTCATCTATACCAACGTCTCAGTGATTCAGCTAGGCTGGCTGGACTGTGTGACTCAGGAAGTAGCATGTCCCCACCTTACCAGTGGTGATCTTCAAAGTATATACCACCATAGGTGTTTGTTAAAGGAGGGGAGATGGAAGTGAAGGCCTCATGCTTGTCTACCTAGGACATAATGCACAAGGCCCTTGCAAGCTTTCCTTTTCCACATTTCCCCCAGTTTCTCTGCATCTTCCTGTATCTCCCAGTTTCCTGAAGTGTCTGTGTAGACTGCTGGGCAGCTGAGCAGGGACACCTGAACTAAGCTACTTTCTCTGGCCTCTGCTGATTTATGGACCTGTAAATCAATAACAGCCCCTTTATATCCCCTGGGGTCTCCTTTTCATTTGCCCCTCCCAGCAAATGTCTGTTTTGTTCCCATCAATCAAAACTCTGTGACCTTGTGAAAGCATACAGGCTTTTCTTTAGCTCCTTCCCACACTACCTATGGTAGCCCAGCGAGGAAGCCAGTTTCCAGGTTCCCATGTCATTTGACAACATGGGTGTCAGCTGGTTTGTTTATAAAGACCAATAACCAGATTTGTGGGTCATTGGCAGAAGGGAAGAGTTGCCTGGTGATGTAATTCTGCTACTGTAGCTTCTAGCGTCTTTGAACGTAAGCAGTTGGCCCAGCTCGGAGCTGACCAGGCCACTGCAGAGAAGCAAGTGTTTGCACCAGCAGCTCAAGGTGCCTCACAGCAGAGAGGAACTCTTACTGATGAACCTGAAGAAGGAGATTTCAACTCCCAATTGCGTGCTGTGCCAGCCAGGTCTACTGTCCTGAAATTCTCAGTTTGTGCTGCCTGGTTACTTATGACTAATGCATTGTCTAGGGAGATTGGGATGCTCAGAGGAATGTCTGTGAGCTTAGGGAGTGCTTAGAAGATGTTTACCGCAATCCTAGTTTGCATCTCAGGAGCGTGAAGCTGTGAGTTTCACTGGCTGGCATTAGTAATGCAACCACATGTGGAAAAGAGTATTGCCCAGAATCTTAGAGCAGTCTCAGGTCAGTGACACACAAACACCTGATAAAAGGTTAAGAAGATGTAAATCCTTTTATGAAGTGGCAAAAGGGATGCAGCCGTGATTAGGATCCAGTCAGAGGAAGAAAATGATTAAAACTGACAGCCTTGGGCTGTCAGGGCACACACTGCTCTATGCAGCTCTCTGCATTTGCAGACTTGGACAGGTCGATGCCCCTGCATCCTTAAGAAAAACTGATCTGTGACAGGGTGTTGGAGTCTGACACTGTGCACATGGTTGGACACAGGCTCACCAACTGTGCATATGCTGCAGGCATGCCATGTCTATGCTTCCAAAACAGCTAGCAATAAGACCAAGGTGTCTTGACCAAAGAGCAGCTAGAAGTATCAGTGCCAAAGCTTCGTGCTGGAATAACTCCAGTGATTACATGGTGTGGTGAAGATCCTGACTGAGAGAGAAGTGGCCCAGTAGTTCTATTCACTTGTGTTTGGATGTCATAGGTTCCTTTCAAGGAGAAGTAATGGATCAGGATTAAAAACCAAGTGACCATTTAATAAAATAAAGGAATTTCCACATCAGGCCTGAGAAGTCTTACTTTAATTATAGAGATAGTTTTGTTTTGTTTTGTTTTGCTTCCGAGACAGGGTTTCTCTCTGTGGCTTTGAAGGCTGTCCTGGAACTAGCTTTTGTAGACCAGGCTGGTCTCAAACTCACAGAGATCCGCCTGCCTCTTCCTCCCAATTACTGGGATTAAAGGCAAGTGCCACCACCTCCCAGCCTGCGATAGCTTCTTCAAGAAACCTGGGCTTGAAATCAGGGCTGAAGTACACACACAGGGTTCACAGCACTGAGGTACTGTGGCCAAACCTCCAACAAACTACGGGCTGCAGTTCTGTGTCCCTCCCCGGCAGACAGCAGAGCAGAGTCCCCTGCTGTCCTTCCAGACAATCAAGCTCTTCAGCAGACGCATCTGATGAGACAAAAGTCAAAGTCAAACACAGTTATGCATGAGCCTTCACTTGAATGCTGCTCCAGTAAAATTCTGAGAGCATGCCGAGAAACAGACCTCACACTTAAGAACAGTCTTTGTTTAAGATGAAGTGTTTGTAAATGTTTGTCTCTCTTCCTCCCTCTTCCTATCTGCTATCATGTGTGTGTCTGTCTAGGTGGAGTTGTATGACTTCATTTGTGTGTTCTGCAGCACTTGCATGTGTTGGCTTATGTGTGACTAATAAGGAATCTCAAGTGTTATCTTGTTTTCTGAGACACTTGCCTTGTAGCTAGAGGTTAGAAATTTGGCTAGATCATCTGCACAGGAATCTGTCTCTATCTCCATAGGCATGAGATTATAGGCTCACACTGCCATGCCAGGTTTTTATATAGTTGCTAGATCTGAGCTCATGCTTACAGAACAACTACTTTGTCTAGTTGATCTATTATCCCTGTCACAAGAAGTTTTGATGGCTAGATTATCATCTCATACTATCTCTCACGAGTGTATCATAGCCCAGAGAGCACATGGATCACAGAGCTTTGTGGTGGTCAGTCCTGTGTTGCTGCTCTGTACCAGAAGCACCAGCGACTGGAGATTGAGTATCCTCCCTGCATTGTGGGGTTTGTATGGCTTGTGGGACATACAAACTGAGATAGACCATTGGTTTTTTATCAATTTCCTTCCATGGTGAGCAGCTTGCAGAACCAGAGAGGTAGATAGAAAAGGTGTTAAGATCTGGAGTGTGGATTTGGTGGCTCAAAGAGGCACATTGGTGATCATCTCTTTTCCTGAGCAAAGTCCCCAAGGAAGATAAGACCTGGTGCCGTAGCACCACTGAAAGGATGTCACCTGATTTATTTATTTAGTGGTGACCCTAATGGATTCTGTAACTTTGTCTCTCAGGAACACATTTCCTTAACATTGCCTGATGTTAGGCAGCCTTTAGCTTGAGGGCAGATGGGCAGATCTATGGCTCAGGTTCTCTCCTTAACAGAGTACTCAGTCTGAGTACCCTGGTCCCCAGGGCCATTTCATTATAACAGGAGATAGATAGTGAGTAACAGTCACCCAGAGTTTGCCATTTCTACCACTCATGAGGAAGGCTGGGGAAAATCTTTCATTGCTTGTTTAGAAGATTTCCTAATTCAAGGAGCTCACTAAGAGAATATTCCCTAAACACCATGGTAGTGTGCACTGGGCCATGGCTTATTTTGCATTGACCTAGTATGTCATGGATACTCAGGGGCTGAGACTGACACACTGACACTAAGTTTGTACCAGTTGCTGTTATCTGCAGCTCCATGGCAATTAGGTTTCCTTCTAATCCTGACCCTGAGGGTGGACACTGGGCTCAAAGAAGCCCCAAGGATGCTGGCCTTACCTGGGCAGTGCTTATTTACAGCCCTGTCAAACACTACTTACCTATTCACTGTGGACAGCACGATCATGGGAGTTTACTTAATTGACGTCGAGGAGTCCCCTTGGGGACACGGAGTCTTTATGTTTGTGTAATCCTTGGAGGGGGAACAGCCCCGTGGGGCCTGAAGGAAGAAGGCTGTGAAGATAGAGAATGATGTCATCAGGCCAGTCAAAGACTGAGAACCGCAGAGAGGGGAAGAGGCTCCTGGGAATCATGTGGCTCTCTTCTCTCCAGCCACACCCTGACTCAGCACCCCGGGTCAGGAGCAGGTTTCCCAGGAAGCACCCAACTGCTGCACCTAGAAACAAACTAGAACTCAGCAGGGAGATGTGGTCAAGCCCCAAGTCTCCTTCAAGGAAATTTTGCTCCTTCTCCTGCTTGGCTATGGCCCCTGTCACCACCCCACACACTCATCCCTTACTTTTCTGCTGCCACACTGGAATTTCCTCTGGACAACTCCTCCTCATTCAGATGTATGCCCGTTACTCCTCCCTCTCTTACTGCCCTTCTCTCCTGGCGTGTCCCACCGGCCCCACTCCTCTTCTCCCCTCCCCTTCCCATGCCTCCTTACCGCCTAAGAGTAAAGAATGCAAGACTTCCTCGAATCTGCTCATTGCTTCTGTTGACAAAAAGGAGGGGAGACGTTGATGAGGACCCAGAGTCATGTAGGGCACTTACTTCTGTCCAGTGGACTACACAGGCGGGAAGGCTGCCTCTTAATAACAAGATGGTTATGTGGCAGACTTCTCTGTCTATCCACTAGCGCTGAGGGAAAAGTAATCTTAAAACAGTGGGGGAGATGTTTGCCTATAATCTGCAGTAGAGGAGGCGTACAGAGCTTGTACCCTGCTTGCTGGAGGTATCTGAGAGGTAACAAGAGGTTTGGGGCACACCTCCTTTCTGTTCTGGCCTGGTTCCCTCCAGTGTCTGTTATGCCCCACCAGGCCGAACACAGAACTGTGGTTTGGGGACCATGGGCCTGTGCCTCATCTTCGACCCTTGAAAAGACACAAACAAAGGACTGTTTCACTGACTTGGATATAGAAGGAATTAGAAAAGAGTGGCCAGTGCTGCCACGGCTCTCTCCACCAGATTCCTCCCTTCCTAACTGTGCTCCCTTTCACAAAGCCCTGCTTCCTCCCATCTCCCTGCATCCTTCTGCCTGGAAACAACCTCTGCTGTCTGCTTCTGGCTCAACTTCCCCAGACTCCTCATGAGCAGATTCAGTGGGAAAACTATTTCTAGGTTAATTGACACCTTATGATTCATGTCCTGTAAATGTGTGCAGCCTATCAGTGCCAAAGAGCCTTTGAAAACGAAACATCAAATACCCATGTGTATTTTGTGGCGTTGCTGCACCATTTCCTTGAACCCCATCTCCCATTCTTTTTCTCCCTTACCTGGATGCTTTATCTTTTGTACTGGGGCAAGAAGACAGCAACATAACCTTCAAAACAGGTTCCTACGCTGCCTCCTCACCCTCTTCCAGCCCCTCTGCTGTGCTTGCTGGAGGCTATGGGTGCCTCCTGGTGCTGCTCATTTGGATATGTGGATGAGTTAGGTCCTTGTGATTTCCATGTTGGTTGTTCCAATGGTGGGGAGGGGTCCTAGAGGGTATGATAGCCTGTGTTGTCTCTCTAACAGTATCATTCAAGTCTGCAGTGGTGGTGTTGTTAACGTCACTGTGATCCTGTGGTCCAGGGTTCCTTTCGCTGTTCCTGTCCTCCAAGAACCACTGTACATCCATTGTTGTGTGACCAAAAGTGATGGTCCTGCCAGTCTCCTCAATCTCAGCCTCCACATGTGCCCCCTCAGATCCATCACCAAACAAGACAGCGTTCTGTCTCCTCAGACTGTTTACTGATGCACACAGTCACCCTGTGGGGCAGAATTCACAGATGAGTTAATGTTCGATGTATAAATCAGGTGAGATGGACTTAGAGAAGCTTAGATACTTTTTGCATTTACCTCCTGGTCTCTTTTTCTTTTGTTGATGTCATAAATGTAGGCAGAGCCAGTTCATTCCAGCTCCTCTTTAAGGAGGAGGGAGGGAGGATGAGACTGCATGCAGGCCTGGTGACTGAGTGGTCCTTCTGATGAGGTCTCTTCGTCCAAGAAAATAACTTTTTTCTGGTGCAGGATATCATTTTCAGCCAGTGTCTCAAAAAAACTCTCCTTGTTCCAGCAGTTTCCAAGTTTTCCTCATGTGTTCCTCAGGGAACACATGATGTTCACCAGGGTGGAAATGGACCACTTTGAGCCTGTTCATCAGGATGCTGGTGGTACATTTGCCTCACTGAGATCACTCTAGGATCATTCCTCTGCCATGTCCTTCACCTTTTCAGGTGGAGAATGGCACCACCACAAGACTCTAGAAGTAAAAACAAAACAAAAGTAGATCTAGGAGACAAAGTTATGGCTACCAATTTGTATGTCATGAAAATAAAAGCTCTCTCGAGCATCCCAATGATGGCTCTTGGAGTCAGATATAAAAAAAAAACCAACCCAAACCCCAAAGGACTTATGAGAAAGCATAAAACAGATCAGAGATGGAACTAACTGGACACTTGAGGTTGAAACACATGGTAGAAAAACAAGGTATCATCCTTTGAAAGGATGAACCAATCTGAGAAATCCTTGACATGAATCACCCAAAGGAAGACACAAATTATTGAAATGTGAGATAGGAAAGAGTTGTGTGCCTGTCTACCTTCTACTCCAGAGTATTGACAATCCTCAAAGACAGATACTGCTCAATTCACAATCAGAAGTCACCACTAATATATCAGGATACCAAACATGCATCCCCTGCTGCCTACCCACTGTTGCACCCTGCATATGATGAGAAATTCAGGAGCTTATGGAACATGTGAAGAGATTGATATGGGTGCAAGACTGGAAGAGTAATACTGTCTCTCCCAACACTGACAGCCCAGGACCAATAGATTGAATAAACGATCTTACCTCTTGGCTCTAAGTGACAATGGAGGTCAATGATCCTCATGCTGCTTCACCAAGTACACAAGGTCAGATCATTCCAAACATTGTCAAAAGCCAGTACTACCCTGATGCCAAACCATAAGCACGCGGTCACACACACACACACACACACACACACACACACACACACACACGTATAACATGATGTTCTTGATGAACACCACGTGAAATGAGATTCTTTGTTCAAGATTGGTCAACAACACATGACAGAGATACTTCATGCCCACAGTCAGTTCAGCATGGAGATCTAGGATAATTCCACAGAAACACTGAGAAGATTTAACAGGGGAAGTCAAGGGAAGAGGCCATACTAAGTCACGAAGAATGAAATTTTGTTATTTTCTGAAACACACGTGGACATAGGGCTAGTTGTAATATGTAAGTTCCTGAGATATCCTGGGATTAACTAGAGCCATGCTTGGGTAGGTGGAATCTTAAACAAAAGGGTAAGATTGTAAGCACATGGCAGTGAGTGTTGCAATATAACACAGCAGATGAAAATCATCTGATGAGGGTGGCCTGAGCAGAAACACCAGAGACCTGAGGACTGCACACAGAGGATCCACATCCCAGCCCGAGGGGATTCAGCCCTCCCAGAGACTGCCAGCTTCCAAGTCCCATTCTACACCCATGGGACAGGCAAGGCTAGAGTCCAGCCTACTCAGAGTTTGCCAAGGTCCCATACTAGGATGGCCTCTATCCATTCAAGAAGAAAGCTACCGGGGTATTGGACCTGATCCCACACATTGGAAAGGAACCGTGGTCACATACCCACCAAGGGAGGAAGAGACTCCTTCTGCACCCACAGGAAGAAATGATGGGAAGGAGACAGTATGAAAGCATACTCACCAACAGAAAAACCAATATGACACCACCAGAAACTAGAGAATCTATACCGCAAGACCTGAACAGTCCATTGAAGAAGGCGCAGATGAGAAAGACCTTAAAAACAACTTCATGAAAATGATAGAGGCCCTCAAAGAAGATATGAGAAAATCCCTTAAAGACATGGAAGAAAAAACAAACCAAAAATACAAGAAATGGAGGAAAAAAACAATCCAAAAATGCAAGAAATGGAAGAAAAGACAAACCAAAAAATTCATCAAATGCAGGAAAGAGAGGAAAAGACAAAGTAAAAATTACAAGAAACAATTCAAACAGTGTAAGGGTTGAAAGCTGAAATAGAGACAATAAAAAAAAAACACAGTCTGAAGGAAGGCTGGCAATAGAAAAGCTGGGCAAACAGTCAGGTACTACAGATACAAGCATATCCAACATAATACAAGAGATGTAAGACAGAATCTCAGGTGTTGAAGATACACTAGGGGAAATAGATTCATCGAACAAAGAAAATCTTAAGTCCAACAAATCCCTAAGAAAAAATATCCAGGAAATATGGGATACCATGAAAAGACCAAACCTAAGAATAATAGGTATAGAAGAAGGTGAAATCCACCTCAAAGGGGTAGAAAACATATTTAACAAAATCATAGAAGAAAACTTTCCCAACTTAAAGAAAGACATGCCAATGAAAGTACAAGAAGCCTACAGAACACCAAATAGAGTGGACCACAAAAGGAAATCCCCTCACCACATAATAGTAAAAAACCCCAAACATACAGAATAAAGAAAGAATATTAAGAGCAGCAAAGGAAAAATGCCAAGTAACATACAAAGGCAAACCTATCAGAATCACACCTGACTTCTCCATGGAAACTCTGAAAGCCAGAAGGTCCTGGATAGATATTCTACCAACACTAAGAGACCACAGATGCCAGCCCAGACTGCTATACTCAGCAAAGCTTTCAATCACTATAGTTGGAGAAAACAAGATATTCCATGACAAAACCAGATTTAAACAATACGTATCCACTAACCCAGCTCTACAGAAAGTTCTGGAAGGAAAACCCCAACCCAAGGGAGTTAACTACAACCAGGAAAGCATAGGCAATAGATAATCCCACCTTACTAACAGCCAAAAGAAAAGAAAAGAGGTAGAAATCCACATATAATTCCACCACCATCAACTATTCCAAAACAAATAAGAATGAGCAATCAATGGTCATTAATATTCCTCAATATTAATGGTCTTAACTTTCCCATAAAGAGACAGAATGGATTCGAAGACAGAACCCATCCTTCTGCTGCATACAAGAAACACACCTCACCCTCAAAGGCAGACATTACCTTAGAGTTAAGGGCTGGGAAAAGATTTTCCAATCAAATGGACCCAAGAAACAAGCGGGGGTAGCAATCCTAATATCTAACGAATTAGATTTTTTGGGGGGCGGTTTATGAGACAGGGTTTCTCTGTATTGTTTTGGAGGCTGTCGGTCAAGCCCAGCCTCAAACTCACAGAGATCCGCCTGCCTCTGCCTCCCGAGTGCTGGGATTAAAGGCATGTGCCACCACCGCCCGGCTAGATTTTAAAATAAAATCAATCAAAAGAGATGAAGGAGGTCACTTCATACTCATCACAGGAGAAATTCACCAGGATGCAGTTTCAGTTTTGAACATCTATTCCCCAAATACAAAGGCACCCACGTTCATCAAAGAAACATTACTAAAACAAAGCCCCACACACTTATAGTGGGAGACTTCAACACCCCACTGTCACCTCTAGACAGGACTACCATACAGAAACTTAACAAAGAAGCAAAGGAACTAATAGAAGTTGACCCAATTGTGATTAACAGACATATTATATAGAACATTCCACCCAAATAAAAAAGAATATACCTTCTTCTCAACACCACATGGAACCTTCTCAAAAACCGACCACATGCTTGGCAACATATCAAACCTCAACAGGTACAAAGAAATTGGAATAACTCCATGCACCTTATCAGACCACCATGTGTTAAAATTAAAATTCATCAACAACACAAATTGCAGAAACCCTAAAAACTCATGGAAGTTAAATAATGCACAATTGCACCATTCCTTGGTCAAAGAAGAAATTAAAGACTTCCTAGAATTCAATAAGAATGAGAACACAACATACCCAAACTTATGGTACACTTTGAAAGCAGTGCTACGAGGGAAGTGCCCACATGAAGAAACTGGAGACTAGTTACACTAGAGAATTAACAGCACAACTGAAAAGCTCTAGAATACAAAGAAGCAATTTCACCCAGGAGGAGTAGATGCTAGGAAATAATCAAATTGAGGGCTGAAATCAATAAAGCAGAAACTAGGAAAGCAATACAAAAAATCAATGTAACGAAGAGTTTGTTCTTTGAGAAAATCAACAAGATAGACAAACCTTTATCCAAACTGACCAAACAACAGAGTGTGAACATGCAAATTAACAAAATCAGAAATGAAAAGGGGGACATAACAATGGACACTGAGGAAATCCAGAGAATCATCAGGTCATACTTTGAAAACCTGTTCCCCACAAAATTTGAAAATCTAAAGGAAATGGACAATTTTCTGGATAGATATCACTTGCCAAAATTAAATCAAGAACAGGTAAGCAATTTAAACAGACCTATAACCCCTATGGAAATAGAAGCAGTCATGAAAAGTCTCCCAACCAAAAAAAGCCCAGGTCCAGATGGGCTCAGTGCAGAATTCCACCAGAAATTCAAAGAACAGCTTATACCAATTCTCCTCAAAGTATTCCATGCAATAGAAGCATAAGGGTCTTGCCAAACTCTTTTTATGAGGCTTCAATAACCTTGATACCCAAGCCACACAAAGATACAACTAAGAAAGTGAACTTCAGACCAATATCCCTCATGAACACTGATGCAAAAATACTCAATAAAATACTAGCAAATCAAATCCAAGAACACATCAGAAAAGTCATCCACTATGATCAACTATGTTTCATCCCAGGCATGCAGGGTTGGTTTAACATACAAAAATCCATCAATGTAATCCACCATATAAACAAGCTGAGAAACAAAAATCACACGATCATCTCACTGGATGCTGAAAAAGCCTTTGACAAAATCCAACACCCCTTCATGATAAAGGTCTTGGAGAGATCTGGGATAACAGGAACTCACCTAAACATAATAAAAGCTATATACAGCAAACCAACAGCCAACATCAAACTAAATGGACAGAAATTCAATGCAATTCCTCTAAAATCAGGAACAAGACAAGGCTGTCCACTCTCTCCATACCTCTTCAATATTGCACTTGAAGTTCTAGCTAGAGCAATACGACAACAAAAGGAGATCAACGGGATACAAATTGGAAAGGAAGAGGTCAAACTTTCACTATTTGTAGATGATATGATAGTTTACATAAGTGACCCAAAAAAACTCTACTAGGGAACTCCTGCAACTGATAAATACTTTCAGTAAAGTGGCAGGACACAAGATCAACTCAAGAAAATCATTAGCTCTACTATATACA